CACTTCATTTCTTTCTCTCTTTTTTTTTGCCCCCCGGAAGGGAATTTTTATTACATTTCCTATAAACTACAACGAAAAAATAGGGAGGGAACATCTACATCTATGGAGAAAGGAAAGAAAACTACTACTAACTAAAACCCCAAGTATATGAGATCATTAGATCAGCTTATATAAGTGTTAGTCTAAAATGCTTACATTACATTGAACATAGTCAATTAAGCTAAATTATTTATCTTTTTAACCATTTTTAACTGTTTAAAGAAAACCCCAGGAGCATCATTTATATCACATGCTTTAAGGCACCATTCAGAGTCCTTCAGCCTTCACTTTGCTTTATCTTTTCTAATCCTCAATTGGTATTCTCGTTTAGGGGCAGCCGCCCACTTTTCTGAAGCTGAATCCTCACCGGAAGACACAGAGTCCAGTTCACTGCTAGATTTGCTGTCATCTTCTTCTTTAGCGTTCTCAGCTGGTTCTCCCAGTTGCAATCTCAGAAACTCACGTGCTTTGGAAACAGAGTCAATTTTTTCTTTTTTGTCCTGCAGTTTGAAAATGACACCTTCAGGGGTTAACCATCTGTAGGAAATGCTGTTTGTTTGTAAAAAAAGGATTAAGTCTTTGTACTTCTTCCTCTTCTTCCTTATTTCAAATGGGATGTCTTTTAAAATCCTAATAGTATTGCCTCCCATTTTCAATGGTGTTCCTGAAGTCGCTTTCAGGATTAAATCCCTCATGTGTCTCTTCGAGAATCTAACTACTAACTCGCCAGGCAGATTATTTTTCTTGATATAGATGGAATAGGCCCTATAGACCACATCCATTTTGATTATAAGGTATTCCGCTTTGAAATCTGTAACTGGAGCTAATGCATCGCTCAAAAGTTGTTTTAGATTCTCATCTTTAGATTCAGGGACCCCTTGGGACCAGAGGACCAGGTTAGCTTTCTCCATTTGCAGTTGTAAAAGCTGAGATTCATCCAAAGCTTTCTTTCTTTCCAGCATTTGCACCTTTTTCTTGACTTTTTTAGAGTTGGCATCTATTTCCTTTACTTTCTCAGCTGTTTGCTCCGTCTTTTTTGGAGTTTCAGACAGTTGGAGCTGCTGAGTTGCAAAGTTCTGATTTAGAGTTGTCAGCTCCTGATTGATGTTAGTCATCTGGTACAGACTTCCGGTTTATGGCGGCGCGCTAGCAGACTCAGCTCCCGGACCTCCGGGGGTTAAGCTGTGCTCCAGCCGAAGAAGGGGGTGTGCAGGCTTGCAACCCCCCCCGGGGCCCGGCGAAGGGACCCTGGCCATGGAACTTATAAGAGGTTACCTCTTCAACGGCGGAATGCCGGAGAATTGAGGCGCCTCCACTTTTTTCCACGCCATTTTTATGGATTGTTTACTTTTGTCAAAACTTGCTTAAAGTCTCTGAAAATTGCCAAACGCCTATCCGCGCTCTAGTAAGGTTCTTAAAACAGATTTCAATGCTTTTAATTCCGTCCCCCCCTTGCTAAATCGCTTTTTAGTTCATGCGTATGGGAGGAGTCTCACTTCATTTCTTACAGTACAATCTTCTCCATTAGAATTCCTACAACAAATGTCATATTTCAAATTTCACATCATCAGTATTATAACTGGATTTATGGAACTCAAATACCATAGTGAAGCACTGGTATCAGGCTAGTTAGGATATACGCAACTGAAAGGGAAATTTAAATCACAGCTAGGGATGTTGAAAGATCAACATGGAAATACATTAACTGAACTAGACAAAATAATGAAAAGATGGGAAAAATGCAGCAATGCTAGGAAAAGTTCAAGGCAGGAGGAAAAGAGGAAGACCCAACATGAGATGGATTGACTCTATAAAGGAAGCCATGGACTCTATAAAGTTTGCCAGACTTGAGCAAGGCTGTTAATGATAGGACACTTCGGAGGTAATTAATTCATAGGGTCACCATAAGTCAGAAGTGACTAGACGGTGCTTAACACACGCACACAACATTCTGCCTCAGCTGGAGTCTCCAAGCTGACTTTTAGGGGAGATCTATGTAAAGTGCATTACAGTAGTCTAGTCTTGATGTTCTCATGGCATGGACCCAGGTGGACAGATCAGCCATGTCAAGATAGGGGGTTATCTTTTTCTTTTTCCATATTTATTTATACATTTTACAGTCTACATATCACATTATCAAATATCATATCTCCTACATTTGAGTCTACTTTACATTGTTTTCCATCCATTTATATACTCTTGACCATCCTTTCTAAGAAGGCTTTCAGCCAGATAGATATGAAATGCTGAAATGCACCCACTAATAGAGAGCTACCAGCGAACAATGTGAAATGGAGAGCAAATGCCAGCCAATTTAAGTAGGTCTGTTGCCACATAAAAATTTTGGACTGGCTGCTACGAATAGAAGTTATTGGCTTGCTCCTATTCTAGTATATGCAATGGAACTGAAAGATATTTTACTAAGAAGAAAACACCTTCCAACTTTATAAGATTACTCATGAGGAAGATAGCTGAAATGAGTGTAAAAACCGGTGTAATCGAGAAAAGAGAAAATGAATATGTTGGACTCTGTTGAGAAAATGAATATGTTGGACTTTGTTTTGCTTTTGTCTGAATTTTTTACTATACTGCAAAATGTCTACAGAATTTATTAAATGTGTCATTGTCATTTAATCACAGTGGTTTCTTGTTTGTTGGCATCCTTTTTTATATACATTATCGTCTTTTCCTTGTAGTAACATATTTAGTGTGTCCATTTCTGCAAGTTCCACTAACTTGTGCGCTATTTCCTCTCTGGTGGGTACTTTTTCTGTTTTCCAATACTTTGCCAACAATATTCTCACAGATGTTATACTATACGTCATCATATATACATCATGGTATTGGTAACCTTCAGGAATTATATTTAACAAATAAATTTCTGGTACTAGTAATACAAAATTTCTAGAATTATTTTATGTATCATTTGCCAATATGTTTGAATTTTTTACACCTCCACCACATATGGTAAAAGGTTCCTACATTTGTTTTACATTTCCAGCATTTATTAGAAGCATTTGTATGGCAACTAGCTATTTTGTCTGGAGACCAGTACCATCTATGGAATGTTTTATAAATATTCTCTTTATAAGACAGCTCTCACATATTTTTTTTTGTTGTTGTTCAGTCGCACAGTCGAGTCCGACTCTCTGCGACCCAATGGACCAGATCACGCCAGGCCTTCTTGTCTTCCACCATCCTCTGGACTTTGCTCAATTTCATGTTCGTTACATCTATGACACTGTCTAACCATCTCATCCTTTGCCGTCCCCATCTTCTTTGACCTTCAATCTTTCCCAGCATCAGGGTCTTCTCCAGTGAGTGCTCCTTTCTCATTTGGTGGCCAAAGTATTTGGGCTTCAGCTGCAGTATCTGGCCTTCCAGGGAACACTCAGGGTTTATTTCCTTTAGGATGGACTGATTTGATCTCCTTGCAGTCCAAGGGACTCTCAAGAGTCTTCTCCAACACCATAATTCAAAAGAATCTATTCTTCAGTGCTTGGCCTTCCTTATAGTCCAGCTCTCGCAGCCATACATTACTACTGGAGAAGGAAATGGCAACCCGCTCCAGTATCTTTGCTAAGAAAACCCATGGACAGTAACAAAAGGACATATTGGAGGTTATTAATTCATAAGTAAAGGTAAAGGTTTCCCTTGTTGAATCCGACTCTAGGGGGTGGTGCTCATCTCCGTTTCCAAGCTGAAGAGCCAGTATTGTCCAAAGACATTTCCATGGTCATGTGGCAGGCATGACTAAATGCCAAGGCATACAGAATGCTGTTACCTTCCCACTGAAGTGGTACCTATTTATCTACTTGCAATTTCTTGCTTTCGAACTGCTAGGTTGGCAGGAGCTGGGGCCAGAGACAGGAGCTCACTCTGTCATGCAGCACTAGGGTCTCGAACTGCCGAACTACAGACCTTCCAGTCTGCAGCTCAGCATCTTAACCTCTGAGCCACCGCGGCTCATAGGGTCACCTTAATTTGGAAGCAACTTGACAGCCCTTGACACACGCACACACAATCAATAAATAATTACTCCCTAAGAACACCAGTTAAAACTATTACCAGCCACATGATACCAAAACAGCTTTCCAAAATAAAAAGTCCTTAGCAGCCATCTAAAGACATTTCAGTTAATTGACCTCTCTAGGTAAGGAGTTCTGTAGGATGGGTGCCACAGCTGAAAAAGGCCTGTGGGTTCTGCATAACAGAAATTAACTTTCTGTGTCCAAAACAGCTGTCTGACAGTAACAGAGTTTATATGGAAACAGATATGTAGAGTGTGAAACGCCCATATGAACGCTTCAAGGCTGTTCTTAGTAGCACACACAGCTTGGTTCTTTGTGGGGGTCCATGAGGCAAGGAAGTTGGTAAGCACCACTGAGTCCTTACCTGGTTCAAGGCTTTCTTTAGCAGCTACATAGGCTTAGCTGAAAAAGACCACTTTACATAGAAGTCTGTGGCCATTTTAGGCAGTTGTGTCTGGTTACAAGGATGGGAAAACTTCTTCCTCCCTCTTTGGCAAGGTTTGAGGGCTTCTAAGGTCCTTACAAGCTCTAGTGGCCAGGTTTCCCTTATGTGCCTCCTTTGGTCCTCAGTGGAGACCCTGCTCTGGGTGCTGCTGCCATCTGGGGCATGGGAAATAATAACAAGGAACAGGGCCTTTTTAGTTGTGGCACCTATTCTATGGAACAACTTGTCTCATTGTACAGAAGAGGATAGTAGTTGCAGGCAGTATGAATTCTGAGAACCCAGATACTGAATTTATACTGTGGAACTATAACCACTACAATTTGCAGAGTAGACAGATACAGAGAAGGAAGAGGTTGTGGGAAGTAGATATGCTTTTTACCCTCTTTAAAAATAGTGCCAAACTGTAGCATCCTAATAGATCTACCCAGTTTATTTATTAGACCACTTTTTTGAAATCAACTACACACTTAGAGAAAAACTGGTACCTTGTGTTTGGCTTCAGGTTTTCAATGGGCAAATGGGTACTTCCTGCAGTCTTGGTTGACCATTTATTCCTAAGGAAGTCATCATAAGATGCACTGTAAACTAAATAACCTGCAAAGAAAAATAAACAACACATTAGTCAGTCAAAGAAGAAAAATAGTTGGTTTTTAACCCTGCTTTTCTCTACCCTAAGGAGTCTCAAAGCGGCTTACAATAGCCGTTTGTTTCTCTCCCCACAACAGGCTTCTTGTGAGGCAGGTGGGGCTGAGAGAGTTCTGAAAGAACTGTGACTGGCCAAAGGTCATCCAGCAAGCTTCATATGGACAAGTAAGGGAATCAAACTCAATTCTCCAGATTAGAGTCTGCCACTCTTAACTACTACACCATGCTGGCTCAAACAGTCTTACCAGTTCAAAGCAGCATCATAACCTCAACTAGTAAAGTAATTGAGGGAACCAGCATTGCCCATTCCCCAGCTTGATGAGACAACAGCGCACCCTATTCACAGGAATTCTTATGACACACAAAGTAAGAAGTGCCATTTATTAGGCAACTCCACAGCGGTGACAATCTGAAGCCACCATGGGTCATTTTGCTCAACTCTAGTCTGAAGAGAAGATCTTCTCCAGGCCAGATTCTCTGAAGTCAACTGCAGGAACTAGATTTGATGCTTGCGATGGATCAGGGAGTTTGCAGACCTGGAGAATGGCAATGCTGGGAAGCTACAAGCAACAGACTGAAGTTGAAAAGGCAGAAGAACCTGCTGTGTTGACTAGGAAAGCTATACATCCAAGTTCCTAATACTCTTAACCCTCTTCAGCCTATTATCCAGCATCTCAGATTTCAAACTGCCTGCCATCATTTTTCTCTTCTGAGCCTGCAGAAGTCTCTGAGGTCTGGGTATGAACAGTTCTAAACATCGCATTTAGCTAGGTCCCTATTCCAGGCCACAAGGGATTATAGGATTAAACACATTCCTGGAGGAAAGATACACCAATGACTACTAGCCATGGTGACTAAATGGGACCTTCATATTCAAAATCCATGCCTTCTCAAGGCCAGTGCTGGAGCACACATGGGTACATGAAGCTGCCCTATAGTGAATCAGAGCAACAGTCCATCGGGTCAATATTGTCCGCTCTGACTGGCAGAGGCTCTCCAGGGTCTTGGGAAAAGGTTTTTCACATCATCTACTACCTGATCCTTGTTTAACTGGAGATACAGAGGATTGAACCTGGGACCTTCTGTATGCTAAGCAGAGGCTGCACCACTGAGCCACTGCTCCTCCCTTGACAACAACAGGGAGACAATGGGGAAAGTATTTGACCTTTGTGCCCTACTTGTAGGTCTTCCAGAGGCCATAATGTGAGACAAGATGCTGGACTAGACTGGCCGTTGCTATGAACCAGCATGGCCAATTTCATGCTCATAAGGATTCCAATTTAAGCCTTCAAGACCCTGGCAACTAGGAGGGGCTTAACAGTTAAGCAAAAGTAGAAAGATGGAAGGTTTCTACAGGAACTGTGCCTGAGAAGCTTGTGATTTAATATTGTTCCAAAAATAAGCACAGTTTTAAAGTAATGTAAAAACCAGTAACCAGACAAATCTAGTATATTTTCCCTTTTAAAAGCCTTATCTGCTCTTCTAGGACTGTTTTTCTTTTAAATTCCTATGGATATGCCTAATAATTCCAGACCCAAATAATTTGTGTACCTTATCAGCATAATGGTACTTAGGAAGTATATGTCATACTGGATGATACACTAGCTTTGCACAAGAAGTTTCTATAATCTTGGGTAAGTGCCAGATAGGGATGGGCCTGAATGTAAAAATTCCACTTTGGTTTGGGGTGGTTCCCAGTCTGAATCCCAAACTGAATTGAGACAGAAATGCCCCAAACCAAACTGATGAGTTCAGGAGGGATCGCCCAAGAAGGGTAAAATGGCAGGGGGAAGTGAAACCCACCACTGAAATGGCTGGCAGCCATTTAAGCCTAACAGGTGAGCTGCAGACCTGCTGTGAGGTTTAAATGGCTGGTCAGCTGTTAGGTTTAAATGGCCTGAACAGCCAAACCAGGAAAAAATCCAGTAAATGCTCATGGAAGAAGAGATTTATACCCCACCCTTCACTACTCAAGGGAGTCTCAGAGCGGCTTACAAACTCCTTTCCCCTGTGAGGTAGGTGGGGCTGAGAGAGCTCTGACAGAAACTGCTCTTTTTCAAGGACAGCTCTGATAGAACTATGGCTTGCCCAAGGTCATCCAGCAGGTGCAAATGGAGGAGTGGGGAATCAAACCCGGTTCTCCCAGATTAGAGTCTATGCACTTAACCGCTACACCAAACTGGCACCTCCCCTGAACATCAGTTTGGGGGCTCTGAACTGGGCCAAGTTTGTGCCGACTTTTGGCTCATTAACTGGTTTATGCCCATCCCTAGTGCCAGACAGTGTTCAAAGGCACATTCCTTGGTACATTCATCTTCACTACCCAACAGCTAGAAGCTGAAAGGCCTGTCAGCGCTGCTAATGAGGCAAATCTCAGATGGATGAGTTTTTGGAGAGAAAAGAGAGATGCCATTGTGTAAAAGAATAATATAACTTATTTCGTGCTTGCCACACTGCAGCACAGAACAGGAAAGTCTCAAGTTAGAACATACCTTAACTCAGGTTATCAGCACATGCAACAATGATCTGATAAGAATTCTACCGGTTCATGCCATTCACAACTTACAACAGATATGAACAGGCTTCTCACTCAATAAATCTAGATTAATCTGCTTGAAACTCTGTTCGCAGTCTGTATTGATTCTGTATTACATTATTTCCTCATTATTTGGGTTCAAATCAATGCCCCTGGTAGTGTTCCTTGAACTTGTGAGCAAGATGGATATTATCAATTTTGCAGACCTGTTCTAAGTTGGATGAACCCATTTCCAGAAGAAAAGAAATGCAATGAGGAAACCAGGCCATGTGGTATTGTTAAAATGCTAGCAAGTTTTAAAAGGCCATGTAATAATACTTAGAGGTATGGAATAGTGGTCTTGAATTTCTCTGTAAATATGCATAAAATCAGGTTCTACCACATGTGTTTATCTGTGGAGATGATGCTTTGCATTTGAAGTATTTATCACATATTTATCCTGCTCTTCCTCCACGGAGCTCAGGGTTCTCCAATGTACCCAGACACCAGCCCTATGATGTGGGTTAGATAAGTTTATCTGTCATTGCTGTTGGCCAGGGCTGCTTGGCTTGCTTCTGGGACATACTCACAACCCATCTGCCTCTGGAGAAGTAATATACATTACCATCTAAAGGGGAGGCATAAGGCCTTGAAATCCAGACTCTAAAATTATCTCACTGTGCCACTATGAGTTCTGGATACAGTACTAGACCAAGAAAGTACACAACAATACACAACTTCACCAATAACCCCAAATATTTATTTATTCTCAAGACTAGTTACTCCTTTTTGACGATCTACCCTCATTCAGTATATGCTTCCTTGCAGAGAAACAGCGGAGTCATAAGCAGCTTCCCTATTGCCTCTGATGAGGAGGAGCTATTACATAATAAAGATGAATTACACTCTACCATTTGAGAACCACTGCACCACATATATAACTGATACACTACAAACTACAAAGAAAAAATGGGGAGAAAAAGGAAAATAGCAAATCAGTATGTTCTATTAACTGGTTAAATGAATTTTTCTATACAAAATGGCATCAGAAAATACAGCCATCAACAAATCAATCCAATAGCCATTACTAGAAGCTTGCATGGTTTGTACCTGTTACCAAATCACCCTGCGTAGGTTTGGCCCAGTCTACAATCACAAAGGAATGGCAGCCTTCCACAGCTACTATAGTAATATTGTGAGGGACTTTCTGAGGACGCATGTCAATGTCTTTTAGGCCAGCAGGTATGATTTCATCCAGGCTTTCTACTTGGAAGTGGTCTAGAGCCTCTGTCAGTGAGCAAGGAGCTGCTGGATCCTTGTTCAGATAAGTCACATAAGGAGCTGGAAGAGATACAGAAAAGGAACATTTACTTCAGGAGACTGTACAAAGGCATGGATTAATTTTTTTTAAAAAATCTAGAGTTCTGCAACTACAAAGCCAATAAAGTATACATTTGTTTTTAGATACAGTAAATTGAACATTCATTTCCTGGACTTAGAACTTGTATATTTCCCTACCATTTTCTAAAACTTTCAAACCTGTAAACCAATGCCATCTGGAAAGTGGCTAGAGTGGTATTAGAATTCACATACGTCTCCTGTGGAAACCACCAGTATGACAAATATTCATTGCAACTTAGACCACAATCTGAAGATGTCAATAGGATAGAGAAAAATAAGGAACTGGTGCGTGGGGGGGGGGGCGGTTGTGTGGCTTCATAAAGCTCTGAAGCAATACTTGATTAAGCCAGGACTGATGCCATATACTGAGGATAAACAATTTGTTCCCCCAGCCAGCCAAATTTGACTCTTTCAAGGGCATTCCCCCTCCCACATTTTCCAGCTTGGAGGCAAGAAGGGTATGTGGTAGAGGAGGGGGTGGGACAATGGAATGCACCAGCAGCTCACTGAAGTATCCCACAAGAATTAGTCCTGACAGCTATTTACTTCTGAGAGGCATAAATATTAAAGGGTGGATTTAAAAATGTATGACAGGCAAATATGGAAGCTCTGGTCTAGTATTTGGGTTGTGATGTGCCAGACTGCAATCACAGAAATGCCCACCTCTTGATCTTTTAGTCTGCATAGTCTTTGATCAATCAGTCATTATATCCTTAGAGGATATTTGTCCATCATCTGAGGAAAGAGCGCTATCTGAAGAATCATGTGCCTCCTTTTCAGCCTGATGTACTACAACCTCAAGACCAATTTCCACAACAGCAGAAGAGCTGTCAGTATAGGACTTTGACCATCCTAGTACGTCCTTGAAGGTATCATCCACATACCTCCCTCTTCCCCTCAGCTTCTCTAGGTCAGCAGGACAAGGAGTGTTGGGGAAGGTGTGACATTGTATGTCAAAGAGGGCATGGAGTCAATTAAGCTAGAAAACATTAAGAGAATAAACTCCCAACAGAATAGTTGTGAGTGGAGACATGCGTCGAGATATTATGTCTTATGTGCTACTTAAAAGTGGGGGTATACTATTGCCCGCCTGATCAAACCCTTGAGGTGAAAAGGGGAGGTGATCAAAGCAGATAATGTTGTAATACTGGGTGACTTCAACTACTTTTACATTGACTCGTTAAACATGTGCTTGAATCATGGTAAAGAAATGAGGTTCTTAGATATTATAATAAATGACTGTGAAGTGGAACTATTAGTCACAGAGCCAAGCTGTGGTGTAGTGATCTTGAACTTGGTTCTGAGCAGGGCTCAATACCTAAATATAGATGTTACACCAACTGGGAGCAGTGATCACAGTGCTATTAAGTTCAGCATTCACATTAATAGGCAGTTACCCCTAAAGTCCAAAAGAGTAACATTTTATTTCAAAAGAGGGAACTTTACAAAAATGAGGGAACTTGTTAAAAGGAAGCTGAAAGAGAAATATGGGAGAGTCAAATCCCTAGAAGATGCTTGGAAGCTATTTCAAACCACACTACTGAACCCTAATTTCTTTTGCTGGTTTACAAGAGAGGCAGTGTGCTCCTGGATTGGTCAGGATCACTCACGTAACCAGTGTAGGAAGCACTGACCTCACCCTAGCTTGACTATGTTTACCCTCAGTAATATCATCACACTCATTACATGAAACTGGATTGGCAGGAATTTCTCTAGGAAGGAGAAATCTAAGGAGGGAAAGCCCCAAAACCAGCAGCAGCAGACCAGAGAAACAATGGCTGCAAGCAGCTATAAATAGCACTGAAAAAGAAGGCAAAAAGAAGGCATTGAGGGGGCCACTTTCGTACCCTCAAAAGCATGGTATACAGGGATCATTTCCTGCAGGAGCGCACAGGAGCAGAGCTCTGGCAGTAAAGAGCCCAGGGGGCGGGCACATGCAACAAGCCCCACCCCCTGCTCCCAGCAGCCCTCAGTCAGAGCAAGAAGCAGCCAGGTAAGTTGCAGAGCCCCCCCCCGGCCCCCCGGTCCAAAACAGTTCCGTGGCACCTTTAAGACCAAGTTTTATTCAGGTACAAGCTCTCCCTCCTCTGTGAGGACAGATCTGCACATTCCCCCCTCCTCCAATAGCTAGCAATCCAAAACAGTCCAGTTGAACCTGAACGGTGGGTGTTGCCTTCTGACACACTTCCGGTGATGTCATGGGGTGTGGCATATGCAAATAAGTTATGCTAATGAATTATGCTAATGAGCTCCTGCACCTCTTTTTCTACGAAATGAGCTCTGATGGTATATACCCAGAAAATGTTCACAGGTGAACTTTCAGCACAGCTCTAGCAAACGTCATAGGGCTCTTTTTGTAGCAGGAGCTCCTTTGCATATTAGGCAACACACCCCTAATGTAGCCAATCCTCCAAGAGCTTACAGAGCTCTTCTTACAGGGGCTACTGTAAGCTCTTACAGGATTGGCTACATTAAAGGTGTGTCGCCTAATATGCAAAGGAGCTCCTGCTACGAAAAGAGCCCAGCTTGAGTATTCACAAGAAGGATAATTTTTTCCCCTTTTCCCTCATAAGGCCTTCAAGTGTTTCTAAAAACAATGTATTTAGTTTATCTTGTTAGATTTGATGACCTCCAGAGAGTTATTTTCCAGCATTCATCATCTATTTAATTGTAGACCCTGACAGCGCTTTCTAGCCTCAAATGACTGAAAAACACTGTCAATGAATAAGACCATGAACAGAACATCTAGTCAAAACCTTGTCAAACATAAAACACATTACTGAATTTTTTAAAAAATGGAACTGTTAAAATCACCAGGCACAGCTACGGCTGCCAATGCTTGGTAGGCACAAATATGGCAATGGCAGAGGATCCATGAGTCTAAGGGAATCTAAGGAGTGAAGCTGTGTGGGGATCCAAGGGACAGAGCACACAGGTGCAGAGGAAAGTGCAAAACAAAGTGATCAGAGGACAGAGCCAAAGAACAAAGTCAACAGAAAAAATTAGTTCATGTAATGTTCACATGCCTCTCTCCGCTGCACCCCCCTAAGGAGATATAAGGGAAAGGTATGCAGAAAAGGCAGCCAAAGGCAGCTACAGTATTTATAAAAACTTGGGATGAAAATTAAAGTAAAAATTGACTATAAACCCAGTGCAGCAAAGCTCTTAAAGGTGACAGAAAAAGCTATTACTAAGAGCTTTAGGTGGGAGCCACTTAACTCTGTTACTTGCAAGGCAAAAAGCAAACACTCAGTTCATCTTTATACCCTGTTCTAGCAAAGGTAGATAACTTCTACTAGAAAATGAAACCAATCTGGTGCTTGACAACTGTCCCCTCTCCTACAGGAAATTATTGCTAAGGTGCATGTTGCTTGGAGTATATATTTTGTTTGTGACAGTCACAGATTGTTCAGCAAGGCCGCCAACTTCTGGGCGGGGCCTGAAGAGCTCCTGAAACTACAAAGTGATCTCCACACTACAGGAATCAGTCAGGCCCGTAGCCAGGATATTCGGGGGGGGGGCCCCTCTAAATAAGCACACCCCAAAGCAAGCAGCCCTGCTCCCACCCTTCCCTGCAACTCACGCATGCTAGCTGGCCCTGTGCACCCCCCCAGGTGGTCTTCGCGGCCCATCTGCTGCTGGGAAAGGGGCCTAGAGGGAAGACTGCACCAGGCTCTGGCTGGCAGGCTGTGGAGGGGTGGCAGGACACACAGCAACAGGATGAGGGGGCAGGCGAGCGAGTGCCGACACAACCTGGAAGCCAAGTGCTGAATGCCAGCTTTGAGGTGAGCGTGTGGCTGGATGCTCCAAGGTTTACTAGTCCCTGGACTGCTCTGCAATATCAGGCTGCTGGGCCCCTGGGGAACCTGACGAGCACTGTGGGAGCATGTGCTCCCTGGGCAGACCTTCCTCCCCAAGGTTCTGAGGTAGCTTCTGTAATGTATTCATAGCTGCCATGAGTACAGGAGGTTTTATGTGAATCATCACATAGGGAAGCAATGTTAAGCTTCGTCTTGGACAGAGCATCCTAGTCCAAGACTCACGACCCAATCACATTCAAGCAAGCTGCAAGCGGGAACGTTTGTGATTGGTCCTTATGCGCTCAACCTGATAGGTTGTTATGTGTATAGTGGGAGTGGCTATGTTAGCCGGGAATGTTTAAATACCGGGCAGTTTCAATGGGCAAACTGTTCGGGCTATCAGATGTTGTACCGTGTCGAAGAAGTGAACAAAGAGCTGAATAAACTTGAGTCTTTGCTGAAATCACTCTCCGACTCATTGTTAAGCGCCGGACTTAACAATTGGCGACGAGGATGGGATACTAGTGCGGGTAGGCAGCCCCGCTACATCCAGACCCACGACGGACAACGAAGAGCAGCAGCTCGCCGTGGCCAGTCAGCAACGGGCACCACCAGAGCCGGTGGCAGCGATTGCAACGATGGCCAATAGCCCGAAGTTCGAGGCCTTCGAACCAGCGACCGAGGACTGGGACTCCTACCTGTCAAGGTTCGGGTTCCACCTCGAAGCCTCCGACATCACGACGGAGGAGAAGAAGCGGGCGACGCTCCTGAGCTCTTGCGGAAAGAGCGTGTTCGACATCGCCCGGTCCCTGGTGGCACCAGCGGACATCTCGACCGTCTCGTACAAGGACCTGACCGAGAAGCTGCAGGCACATTTCTCCCCGAAGCCATCGGAGATTGCGTGCCGGCATGCCTTCTACAAGAGGGGTCAGGCGGCCAGCGAGTCGGTGGCGGAGTTTGTGGCTGCCCTACGAAAGGCGGCAAGGCCCTGCAACTTCGCGAATGTGGAAGAGGCCCTCAGAGACCGGCTAGTGTGCGGAATGAGGGACGACCGGCTGCAGCAGAGGCTGTTCGCTAGAAAGGAGCTGACCTGGGCAACGGCCTACGACGAGGCCATCGCCGCGGAAGCAGCCGACAAGT